TGGGGGGTGCGCAGGTGTGCGGGACGGGGTGGCGGGGAGGCGAGAGGTCCCCGGAGACGCCGCCCATGAGCATCCACTGGGTTGGGTTGGTTCATCCGCTCTGAGGGCAGGTCCGGCTGTGCCCACTGAGCCTGGTGATGTCGTCATGGAGGCAGCGTCGTGGACAGCTCGGAACTGTGCATTCAAAACAGCTAGGAGAGGACTGTGTGTTCCCCACACAGAAATGATAACCGTTTGAGGCAGTGGCATGCCAGGGACCCTGACCTCCTCACTCATTGTTGTGTACATTGAAATAGCACACTGCTCTCCAGAAATGTGCACAGTGCTGTCAGTTAAACATAAAGTGTAAAAATAGAAAGAGTTCCCAATCCTGAAAGAGACAGGCAGCAAATTAGGGAACAGATATCCCCATATCCCATTGAAGTTTTGATAGAAAAATAAGGCAGGGGAAAGAGAGACACAAAGACAGAAATAGGGTGGAGTCAAGAGGGCCCCACTGAGAGTGTGGCCTTGACATGGAGTCTGGAGGGTCACCCACCAGACCCAGAACTGGAGAAAAGAGTTCTGGGCAGGAAGAACGGAAGGTGCAAAGGCCCTGAGACAGGGCCCAGCTTGGGAGGTTTGAAGCCCTGTTGAGGAGGCAGTGAGGAGTGGGAATGGGTGTCCAGGGCAGGGCCTGGCTGCATGACCCAGGTCAGCACTGTGGAGCTGGTCCTGGGGCCTGTGACAAAGACGGGACTCTGCGGTGGGGGGGGGATGGGGTCAAGGAGCACCAGGGCTGGGCCGTGCGCTGTGGGAGCTGTCAGAGGTGCAGACAGGAACGTGGGCTGCTCAATTTGTGTTTGAACCCATTTGCCTGAGTTCAAACCCCCTGGATCCTGGAGCCTGTTATTAAACTGGCTGCACCCTGGGGCGCCTGCCTTTATCCCCAGACAGGGCCTGGCCCACCGCCTGCCCTGGGGTCGACCCTGGCCCCCAGGTGGGAGTGGAGGGCGGGGCTGCTGCACCCCATGCCTGCTCCAGCCCCAGGCACCCGAGGCGCCCAGGCTGCTGCCCGGAGCTGGGAGAGTGGAGCCGTCATCCTGCCCTCCGTGACGCCCACAGAGGTAGCACATCCCTGGCCTCGTGGCAGGGAGCTGATGGCAGGGCCCAAAGTCAGCACGCAGACCCCTTCCCACTTCCTCCTTTGTCCGAAGCTGGCTCCTCCCACCGGACACTGGCCAGGGTAGCGAGTAGTTTCTGGGCTGCGCAGAGAGGGGAGGTGGGGATGGCCGGGAGGCTGCTCTTCCTGGCACTGGGCAGGAAGAACTGCCCAACAGCCAGGTAGCGAGTTCCCCATTGCTGGAGGCGTGCAAGGAAATTCTGATAACAGCCCTCGTGAGCTTACAGGAGGAGGTGCAGAGGGGTTGGTGTGGGTGAGAAACCACTCCCTTCTAGCCCCATGATTACACAGGACCTCTGTCCAATCCTCGGTGCAGGCCTCACTTTCCCCAGCAGTAAATTTATTTATTTATTTATATTTATTTATTTATTTTTTCGCTTTTTGAGCCAGGGTCTCACTATGTAGTTGAGACTGACCTGGAACTCACTGTGTAGCCCAGGCTGGTCTGGAACTCACAGCGATCCTCCTGCCTCAGCCTCCCGAGTGCTGGGATTACAGGCGTGCGCCACCACGCCTGGCAGCAGTAATTTTAAAGAAAGAAATAATAAATGAAGTGGCCTTGACCATGAAGCCCCTGCTGCCAGTCTTCCTGGGTGCCCCAGTCCGTGGGAGGCTGCTGCTGAGGCCGCGGCCGCCCAGTGCTGTCCTCTGCCCTCTGTGGTGACCAGAGACTCCTCCCCACGATCCTCCCGCCTCAGGCATGTGGAGAGCTGCGACTGTCAGATGGCAAGTCTCGCTCGTGCTTCCCATGGGTCACATCTCCTGCCAGCTCTGCAGTGGGATCCATTTTACAGACGAAGAAACTGAGTTTCAAAGAGGACAAGTCCCTTATCCAGAGCCACAGAGTGTGTGAAGGCAGAGGAGTCAGGATTCGATCTCAGGCCACAAGCCTTTAGCATCACTTTCTCCTTTCCCTGTGCAACTCATTTTCACCTTCCAGGCCTTGCTCAGCAGCCGCCTCCTCCCGGCAGCCCTCCCTGATCCCCTCTGCCTGCTCACAGTCTTCTCTTTCAGCCCAGAGACGGCAGAGCAGTGACACGCAAAGCCCCAGCACTGCGGAGATCGCAAACACAGAGTCGTCCAAAGGTGTGCTGCGTCCTTCTGGATCCCACTGCTCCTGCCCCACCGCCCGCTCCCTCTCCCAGCAGCCCTGGGGTCCCCTCCAGCGTGGTGTCTGAGTGGAATCGTCCAGTGGATGCTTGCTTGGCCTTCTCTACCTCCACATCGTGAGTCTGAGAGTCTGTGTCATCGCTGCCCTGGCCTTTTATGCATCCCTCCCCGGGTGAGCCCCGAGGAGCAGGAGCACCTGTCTTACCCACCTCTCTGCCCCGGCACCCAGCTGAGGCGGGGCATACAGGAGGTGCCTAATAAATGCCAACTGCCTGCCGGGAAGGAGGCGGTATGGGGAGGAGCAGGCAGAGAGGAGTCAGAGGTTGGCTCAGAGGCGGGTGCGGGAGAAGGACCTGGTGGCCCTGGCCATCTCCGAGGGACTCGGGTCCAGGTCCACCCGGCTGGCCGAGGTGGTGCTCAGAGTGCCTTTATCTGGTCTGGGCTAAGGCTGGCCAAGTTCCCAGCTGCCCAGTGCCCGGCTCTGGAGGGTGGCAGGTGGGCGGCTGGAAGGGAAGTGGCTGCCCAGCCCTCCCCAAACCAGTCCAACTCCTTTGAGCGGTTTCTGGAGGTGCTGGAGCTGAGTAAGGGAGAGGAAGAGGAGGAGAAGGAGGAGGACGAGGAGGAGCAGGAGGAGGAGGAGGAGGCGGCGGCGGAGGGAGGAATCGTTTAATTAGTGAATATTACAGGGAATTTCCAGTTCATGCCCCATCAGGCTGGGCAGAAGCGCCCGCAATTACTCAGGTGCTGGCCTTGGCCTCCAGGGCTCAGTGTACCCAGAGGCCTCCAGGTTCCCAGCCCAGGCTGGGGTCTCACCCAGCGGAGACTGAGGAGCTGCGTTCGAGACACGGCCTGCAGCCTCAATGCGTGCGGCCTCCTGTGCCCAGCTTTGCTGACGCGATCCTGGCCCATTTCCAGGCTGAAAACTGAGGCTGGGAGCTGTGCATTGGCCGAGGTCACATGGGGGTCACTGGGGAGAGGGAAACTTAGAGGCCAGGGATCATTTGGAGTGACCCGTGCAGCAATAGCCTTTCGATATTTATTGAGCACCCACTGTGTGCCGAGCGCAGTGCTCAGCTCTGGGGGTCACGAACTGGGTCCTGGACACACGTGGGACACTTCTTACCTTACAGTGGGAAGTTAGCAGGGGCAGAGACCATTTCGGGGAATTTTGCTTTCTTGTTCTGGAGACACGGAGTTTGGGTCAGACCAATAATTCCCCGGTAGGCATCTGAAGGACCAGGACAGATTCTCAGGGATGTTAATGGGGGGATGAGGAGAGAAACTTCCCGGTCGGAGGAGTCTGGGAACTGCAGATTTAACAACCTCTATGTTTGCTACAGGCCTGTAGCGCCTGTAACACCCCATCCGGGGACGGTGTCTGAGTCACCCTCTGGGCTGCGTGCTCGCCCGCCCCTCAGAGTCCGGCTTGGGTGCCGCCTCCCCCGGGAGCCTCCTCTAAGGCGCCAAGGCGCGGAGCCTCTTTCTGGGAAGGTGCTGCCCAGAGCCCCCTCTGACCGTGTCATGTTTTCCACGCTGGGCTGTAACCTACCTGTTGCCACCACTTGCCTGTGAGCTCCTCCAGGGCGGGTCCGGCGTGATTCACCCGGGATCTGGTGTGGGGACCAGAGCGGGCGGGGAGGACTTGGCAGGGAAGAGTCGGGGACGATTCGCCAGCTGGGCGGACGGTCGGACGGATGCGTTAGTGACGTGGGTGGATGGGTGAAAGGAAGGCAGAATCGAGTGAAGGAAGTGGACAAAGAAAAGAGCGGCTAAGTCAGTAGATAGCCAGAGGGGAGCTGCACGGTCGGACAAGGAAAGGAGTGGGAGACGGTGAGTTGTGAGTGGCAGGTGCGGCTGAGTTTGTGGGTGAGAACCGTGAGTTACTGACGGTGAGTACAGAAGCATGTGGCCAAGTGAATGCACGAATAGGCGACATGACGGACGAGTTAACGTGCAGCTAGATGAACAGACACAGAGGGAGAAGTCACTGGATGGATCGGTGATGTCAAGAGCGAAGACACGAGAGACTGCGTAGGCGAACACAGGGGCAGGTGGGTGGACGGGAGGGCGGGTGGATGGCTGAGTGAATACATCTCTGCACCCCCTTCTTTGGCACCGGGGATCGAACTCAGGTCCTTGCGCTCGCAAGGCGGGCCGCAGAACCACTGAGCCAAACCCCCGGCCCCTCTGCACCCCGTCTTGATGAGCAGTTTATCGAGACTTTGGAGTTTGGAAGTTTGGTGAGCGCAATGAATCATTTCTCAAGGAACAGCCCATACACACCGAGCGTCATCCCCGGTTTTGTGGGAGCAGCGGTCATTATGTCTAGGAGCCACCTGCAGACCTAGGTGAGCAGTTCCTGTCAGGGTGATGAGTTTCCTTCCAGTCCTGGAGCCTTGGGCTCGGGGAGGAGCCCAGGCCCAGGGGTGAAGGCGGCTGAAGGGGACTGGGCTTCCTGTGAGTTCACTGGCAGATTTCCGCAGCTCCTGTGCCTGCCGGGGAGAAGGCTCTGGGGGAAGACAGCGGCCTCTCAGTGCCCAGTGTACAACGCTCGGAGTGGGACAGATTTTATTTAGAATCTCATTTCTAATGTGCAATGGCCAGGGGGAAGCTGTAGGACCTCAGGGTGCACCTAAAGCAGATGTAGGGGCTCAGGAGGGTTTAGGAAACCCATGGCCCCCAGGTGGAGTCCTGAGTGACACAGATGGGGTAACAGGTGGCGCTGGGCAGAAGTCGCGGTCTGCAGAGGCTCAGGTGAGAAAGAGCGTCCTGCCCTGGACAGGGGAGGTGTGAGGTGCCTGGGGCTTTGACTTCCCGGGGAAGGCGAGGGGAGCTCCTGACAGTGTCACTAGGTGCTGCGCCAAAGCAGGGACCCTGTGGTCACCCACGGGAAGGCGATGGCGGTTCAGAGGGGGCCAGAGGCAGCGGGATCTGGCGAGACTCCCCCAGGCCCCGATGACCAAGGGGCTGGAGGTGCTGGAGGCAGGGAAGACAGTCTCCTGGCTTTTGGCTGTGGGTTGTGGACAGTGATGGATCTGCTCTGAGAGGGGAAATCGAGGCAAAGCAGTGGTCTGGGGAAGGATCTGAGCTCACGTGGGGAGCAGGTGGACCCAGGGCCAGAGGCTGCGGCCGCCAACTGGATGGGGGCCGTCTCGGAAAATGGAGCACGAGAAACACTCAGCAAACCCTGCGAGGGCGGAGGGGTTGCTGAGTGAAGCGGGCTAGCTGAGGGCTAAGCCCATTCCTCTGTGCACTCTGCAGGCGCTGGTCAGGTGTCCCCAGGCTGTGGTTTCCCGCCTGAACGTGCGTCCTGGGAGACAAGGCGCGGGCTAGGGCGAGGCTCACTGGCCGGGGGCTGGAGGGGGACACGGGGTCTCTTTTTTTTTACAGCGGCGTCCCTGCGGGACCTGAGGCCGTGGCCCCCCGCCCGGGCCCTTCTCCCCTCTGTCCAGCTGGAGCCGTGTGAAGGGAAGCTCAACCCGTGGGTGGGAGTGACCGATGGGGCCACATCCCAAGTGAGTGGCTCCTGCCGACCCCAGGGCTTGGCTTGGCCAAATGTGAGCGCTGTGACCGAGTGGAGTAAAGCGTTTCCCCGTGAGCCACGAGCCTGTGTTCACGGCTCCCAGTTCCTAGAAGGCCACACCGCCGGGGCCCTTTCCCTGAGGCGAGGGTGCCGACCCACCTCCCTGTTGCCTGTGACTGCCTCGGCCAGCTGCAGTCTGAGCCTGACCCCCGTGTCTCGGACAGCAGCTGCCTCTCAGCCCTAAGGCCCAGCACCACACCCTGGGGGCCCTGTGGGCAGCAGATGTTCATCTGCTCAGGACCACAGCTGGGCCTGGCCACACCCCGGGCTCAGCCCCAAGGCACCAGGGGCTGGGGGGGCAGGCTGGGGAATGGCAGGCCCCTGCCCTGACAGCACTGGTATTGGCTGATGGGTGGGGAAGTCGAGGGCAGAGGAACATGGCAGAACAGCCTGAAAAACAGAGACGGGAACACCTGTGTTCTCACCGGGAGAGGCTGTGTGACCAGGGTGGGTCACCTAACCTCTCTGAGCTCTAGTTTAAGGAGAGACCCCAGGAGCAGCCTCCTGCGCAGATCCCTGATAAGTGGCAGATGTGATACCCAACCCCAGCAGGTCAGCTGGAGCAGAGACAAAAATCAGATTCTGGGGCGAAACTGACCTCTCGTTTGGGAGCTGGTGACCCCGGGCAAGTCACTTCTCTATTCGGATCCCAGAGGAAAAATCATGACAAGCCCAGTCCCAGACAAGCCCTCGCCACATTTTTCTGAGGAAAAAGAAATCCATTTATTGAATAGATATTTGCTGAGCACTTCCTATGAGTCGGTGCTGGGGACACAGCAGGCATTAAGTGGTCAGAGGTCTCTGTCCCATGGAGCTCACACTTTCAAAGATGGCAAGATGTCAATAAACAAGATAAATAAGCTATATATGGCATGGGTTGGTGTTATGCAGAGAAATAAGGCAGAAAAGGGAGAGGGGGTTGAAACAGGCAAGTAGGGACAGCCTTAGTGAGCAGGTAACATCTGAGCCATGATCTGCAGGAGGTGAGGGATGGAGCCATGGTAACAGAATGTTCCAGGCATGAATGGCAAGTGCAAAGGCCCTGTGGCAGGTGTGTGGAAGGCTTATCTGGGGTGCAGATAATGTCAGTGTAGTGGGGGCAAAGTGAGGGAGGGAGAGGGAGGTAGGAGTGTGGAGATGATGGTGTAGGACCTTGTGTGCTGTTACAAGGATTTTGGCTTTTGTTTTGTAGGACGTAGGAGCCATGGAGGGTTCTGAGCAGAGGAGGGATGTGGCCTGACTAGGTTTTCTTGGGACCTCTTTGGCTATGAGTGCAGCTAGGCCAGGAGCACTGAGGATGGAGGGAGGCGGCTGTGACAGTTGGCCTTTGTTTGGTGATCTTGTTCCTCCCTTGCTATAATTGGTGTAGGACCTTGTGTGCTGTTACAAGGATTTTGGCTTTTGTTTTGTAGGACGTAGGAGCCATGGAGGGTTCTGAGCAGAGGAGGGATGTGGCCTGACTAGGTTTTCTTGGGACCTCTTTGGCTATGAGTGCAGCTAGGCCAGGAGCACTGAGGATGGAGGGAGTTGTGACAGTTGGCCTTTGTTTGGTGATCTTGTTCCTCCCTTGCTATAAATTCTGGCTCTCTGTCACCACCCCACAATCCCAAACTCCTTAGCCCCAAATGCAGGGCCCTGGTTATTGCCCTAAGGCCCTGGCCTAGCTGCATGCCACATGTGGTCCCTCCTTTGCCAGTGCTGTTCCCTCTGCCAGGGATGTCCCTCCCTCCCCACACACAGCCCAGCTGGACCTCAGCTAGAGTTGGAAAAATGAGGGCCGGGAGACCTCTTCCGCCCCCGCCCCCCATCTCTGTCTGATGACAGACTGGCCTGCTGTGTGACCTTGGGTAGGTCACATGCCATCTCTGGGCTTTGGCTTCTCTGCTTTGTAAAGCCAGCAGACGAGGACCTCCACGCGGTGCACTGTGCTCTTGGGGACCACACATCTGGGGGCTGTGGCCGCATGTGTTTGCCCAGCTGTGCCAGGCCAGCCCTGGGCGGATGCCAGTGAGGTCTTGGGGAAATGATGCCCTCAGCTGGGCACTGCCATTGGTTACTCTGGAGTTACCTCAGCACCCTCTGTGCGTCTCCATCTGGCTCTGATCGGAGACAAGACAGCCTGGTTCAAATCTGACTCTGCTGCTCCCCAGCTGTGCGATCAGGACAAGTTACTTAACCTCTCTGGGCCACTTTCCTCAGTGGAAGGGGAGAGTAACAGTGCTGCCTCCTGGGTGTGAGGGACTCAGCGGCTCATCAGGCCAGCTGTGATCATCACTGTTGGGGGCCTGCCTTGTGGCTAAGGTGCCCCTTCCCTGCCTGTGCCTCGGTTTCCTTATCTGTGAGATGGGGCAGCCACGAGCTGTTTTGGAAGAGCGGCTGTCAGGATGACCCACATCTAAGGCGCGTCAACAGCCCGGAGTGGAACACACACCCTGGGATTTTTATTTTCAAGCTTTCAAATGCAGAATTTACTTCATTCAAAACCATCCAGTCATCAATGATCTATGAACGGTCTGAAGAAATCTTTGTGATTCTTCTAGTCAAACAAATGCCCTTTGGGTTTACTCTAACAGTAAATTAATGAGATGAGGGAGAAAATCCCAGGCCTCCAGACAGCAACAGACCAGAGCATGTGTCTATCTTTTTTTTTTGCTTTTTGAGACAGGGTCTTACTATGTATCCCAGACTGGCCTTGAACTCACTGTGCAGCCCAGGCTGGCCTCAAACAAGCAGCGATCCTCCTGCCTCAGCCTCCCGAGGGCTGGGATGACAGGCCTGCGCCACCACGCCCCGCTGGAGCATGTGTCCTTCTGACGAAGAGTGGAGGATGAGCTGCACAAGTGTTATGAACATGTTGGGATATTGTGGCCGTGCCTGGGGTAACCTTCCCTTCCCTCTTCAGATCTCAAACTCTTCTGTCACTGTGAGAGCTGCCTGTCTGCCTGGCTCGCCTAGGGATTATCTCTTGGCTGAAACCCATCACTGCTACTCTTCATTAAGTGCCTCCTGTATGCAAAGTAATGTTTGTGCCTCCCCCCCACGCCTCCTGTACTCCCAGCAGGGAAACCGGTACTGTCCTTTCTGCTTCCCAGGAGAGGACAGCGGGCAGGGCTGGGACGCTGCCCAGGGAGACAAGGAAGTGGGGGCTGGGCTGGCCGGGCGCTGTGATGTCACAGCCCAGGGCTAGTGGTGCCCTCCTAGCGGCTGACCTGGCCGGTCGCCTCCCCAGGCCTCTGCCCTCCTCCCCCCTTAACCCCTTCCCGGCCTCCCTTTCCCAGACAGCCATCCCTCGGGCCTGGCTGCCCGCAAGATTCCCAGATTTCACAACCGGGGCTGGCGCTGAATCATGTACAGTAAGTCCAGGGAGAGAAACTCCCGGCTGCCTGGCGTCCCCACACAGGACGCCTGCCAAGCCTGCTCTCCCTCGATGGGCCCAGTGGCAGCCAGGGATCGTCCCCCTGGGCTGAGGACACGCTGGGAGGCGCGGGCAGGATGCACACCCTCTCTGGGCTGCCCCATCTGGTGTGGGCGGGTTCTAGGAGCCCTGGGGCTGTGGCCCGGGGGTGCAGGTCAGGGATCAAGGGGGCCCCTCACATCAGTCGCGGCTGTCACCAAACGGCTGGTGACCCGGAAGAGAACCTAACTGTAACTCTAAGCCTCAGTGTCCCCGCCTGGAGAATGGGGCAGTCGTGGGACTGAGCTCCCGGGGTCACGGCGGGGACCGGGCTCAGCACAGGAAGTGCCTGGTGCGTGACGTCGCTCTGACGTCACTCGGAGCACCTGCAGAGCTCGGACAGGCCTCGGACGCTGTCGCCCGGGACACCGCGACGAGGTTTACGCTTATCTTCTAAAAACGTCTTCATTCCATCTCAAACCTTTATCGAGCACCACTACGTTCCGACCGTGCTACTGGGTCCCGGAGACACAGCGGTGAACAAAACAAAAAATTTTGCATTGAGCCTGAGTTCTACTTGAGGGAATTGGGAATTTAAGGTCATTTTCCTGAGTGATCAGGGATCTGCAGGACACACAGCATGGGGCTGGGGTGACTGAGGGAACCAGGTGTACCCCCAGGATGCCTGGACGAACAGGGGAGGCCACTGGCACCCGAGATGGGGCTTCGAGCGAAAGATCCCTCCGCAAGTGCCCTCGACGGAGGGGCTGCATGTGGCCTCCAGGCGACCTGAGGTTACGAGGCTGCCTGGCAAGGGCCGTCTCTTCCCGCCTGCTGCTCACAGTGGAAGCCTTGTTCCCCAGGGACCCTGTGCCCAGGCTGCAGCGGGGACTCTGGGCTGTGACTCACACCCCAAGGTGGGGGACCCAGAGGACTTCGGGTGCGGTGTCTGAGTAAGGCCTCCCTGCCTCTCCTGCCCCTCAGATGGGCAGTCACCCCTGCTGGAGGGACTGGAAGCGGAGGGGGCTGTGGCTTCAAGACCCACCCCAGCCCTGGAAGAGGCCACTGGGAGCAGGCCTTGTGTTCCCAGCTGGACTGAGGTCAGAAGCGCATGTACCTGTGCACACGTGTTAGGGGCTGTGGGAGTCAAGGCTCAGGAGCTGCCGGTGTCGGCTCCGGGCCGTGGTGGCTCCCAAGGGCAGTTGGAGCCCTAGGCTTAAGCAGTGTCCCCTGAGGAGGACCTAAAAATCCTTTGTTTTTTTCCTATAGAAAAAGCCCTCTTCACCGCCTTCCTTCAGACTGTGGAGGCCAGGACAGCTGACAGCTGAGAATGGGGGTGGCTGTGTCCCTCGTGGCTTCACAGGGGTGCAGTCAGCAAGATGAGGCAGAGCGGTGCCCACACACGTGAGTGAGAACCCGCCACCGCGTCCTGGGGGACAGGCCAGGTCCTGAGCCCCATCCTACAGACGAAGCAACGGAGGCTCGGGGTGGGGTGTGCTGCCCAGGTCCACCACTGAGGAGAGGCAGAGCCAGGATTTGTAATTTAATTGAGACGGGGTCTTGTTAAATTGCCCAGGCTGGCCTTGAACTTGTGATCCTCCTGTCTCAGCCTCCCAAGTAGCTGGGATGGCAGATGTGTGCTGCCATGCTTGGCTCAGAATGGGATTTGAACCTGGGGCTGTGTGGTTTCTGCATACTCACACATCACTAGCTCTCGCCTAGTGCTGGGGGTCTTGAGCCCAGTTTGGGGGTCAAAGAGGAATGTTCAAGGCATGTCGGACCCCACCTCCAGCCTCAATCTGGGGAAGAACTGGCCTGGGGTTGAACCCGACCCAGAGGCATCTCCGGCTGGGACCCCTGCCCCCTTGCCCGCAGGGGTAATTACCTGCCTGGTTAATGGCACCCACTTCCTGCACCTTTCATCAGGGCCTGCAGCTGCCAGGCAGTAATTAACCCTCACAGCAACCCTCTGAAGTCCACACTCGAGGCAGACATATCATTAAACCCACTTTAAGGGTAGGTAAACTGAGGCAGAGCCCATTGTGGCCTGAGAGCCTGTTGTTCCCTGTGACTCAGCAGCTAACTAACCTCTGCTTTCTTCCCACAGGAAGCAGCAGCGGGCCAGTGCCCTTCACCTGATCAGAGCTCAGGAGAGATCCTGGAAGGCCCTGGGGCTTTGCTCCCCACCTCCTGCCTCCCAGAGGCACAGGGGCATGATTCCAAGCCAGTGGAAGGGATGGAATCCTGGGACATGCCCTTGCCCTCTGCTGGGCCCGTTTCCTCCTTGGTAAAGTGAGGCTGCTATGCCCACCTTATAATTTCTTATAATTTTGTCCTGAGCATAACGCATGGGACCTGCCTATGATCTGCCTCCTCGCCGTCTCCTTGCTTGGCCACACTGAGCTCCTCACTGTTCCCTGAACTCACCAAGCCCCTTCCTACCTCAGGGCCTTTGTATGTGCAGCACCATCTACCTGGAATGTCCTGCCTTCCTATCTCCCCAGGGCTGGTACCTTCTCATCTTTTTGGGCTTAAACATCACCCCCTCAGCGTAGAGAGCACCCCACCATCCCTCACTCTGCTTTCTTCTTCCTAACAAAGGGATGCAGGCTTCTCACTCTTTTTCTTCTTTGTGTTGTTCTTGACACCACAGGCAGACTTTATCTGTCTGATTGACAGTGCGCTCCCAGAGCTCAGCAGTGTCCAGTAAACAGTAGGTGCTTAAGAAACAACGGCTTCCCTCGCTTCATTCTTTGCCAGCTCCAAGTCAGCTGGGAGTTGTTTTCCACCTCTCTGGTCCCCCATTCCCCCTGGAGGACACAGCAGGCACTGGACATGGGTTACTTGAAAGACTCAGGTAGTTTGAAATCCGAAGACGTGAGGCTCATGGTGTCCCTGGGCAGCGGGTAGGTGGGGACTCCAGAAGCCTTTGGTGCAGACGCCCTGTCCCTACCACCTGCCCTCCTTCGCCTCAGGTTTGTGGGCTCGCTCTGGGCAGATCTCCAGAGCCATCCCCACCCCCGCACACCTGTCAGCACCCTTGGGGGAAAGAATCTGGAAAGGGGAGGAAGAAGAAGAAAAGAAAGCAGGGTGCAAAGGGACGGCCCCAACACCTGTGTAAATAATTTGTCATCTTAAGACGCATCAAGTACACTCACCTTTAGTGCCCGGTCCTTGGGCTTGTTTTCCTTGGCAAGGCCTCCACAGGAGTGGAATTTCGGCCAAAGGGACCCAATTGTCGTCTTCTAAGCATGTTCCCGGGCCAGGGGCCGGGAAAGGCTCTGGCTGACTCTCCACTTCCGTCCGCAGAAGTACCGGAAGGTTCCTGGGATTTAGGAGCAGCCTCCAGCTCTGGAAGCTGTCCCAGAATTCTGGAATGCTGGAATTTAAACAGCCACCATCCCATTTTGCAGAGGAGGAGTATGAGGCCCAGAGGGGAAGGGATTGGCCTGTAGTCACATGACGTGTGAGGCGAACTAGTTCGCTGGTGGAAGGGGACACTGTGGACCCCTTCATTTCCTGCAGCCCTTGAGGTTTGGGGGATGCCCAGGCCTCCTGTCTCCAGGGGCGCACATGTTTTGCTGTAGTGATTGGGTCAGGAGTGGTCATGTGACTAAGTTTGCGCAATGAGATTCTACCGTGGGGCTTTGGTGCTGGGATGTTTGAGGAGATGCCGTTTCCCTTCAGGTTGACGGTGAGCAAGGGAAAACTGCTCAAGAAACCAGCTCAGAGCTGGACAGGGTCTGCATGCCTGGATCCAGCCATACCTGAGATCACACACTCTTGGCCTATCTAGTTTCATAAGCCACTACATTTCCTGTTTTTGGCAGGAAAGAGTTTGGCCTGGGTTTTTATCGCTTGCACACAGAAGTTTCTGACTGACCCATGGCACAGGGGAAGGGGAGAGATTGCAGGTAGAGGAAATAGCCTGACAGGGAACACAAAGCAACCATTTCCAGGGAGGTGTCCCGAAGCAGGGAGAAGAGGAAGAGCTTAGGAATCTGGCAGGTGGCCGGGGTGGGAGAAAGCACATGGAACCACAACGTGAAGGTTTGGAAGGGTGATCGCACGCTGGAAGGCTGTGTCCCAGACTTGTGCAGGGTGACAGAGGACACTGGTGAAAACGGCACCGAGCCCACCGCTGCCCGACAACCACAGCTCAGTGATGCGCCTCTGTCTAGAGCCGAGCCTGTCCTACCCCCGGCCCTGGCTGAGGCCTCACAGTGCCATCCTGGACCCCTACATATGCTCCTTATTCGGTCCTGGGCACCATGAGTGCCACACAGAATCACTTCAGGGTCCCCCGACACAGTGTAAGATCGATCCGGGTCCTGTAGCAGGAATAATTCCTGCGGCAAATCTATAGCCATCGTAGTACTTGCTAAACTCTGCTGTGAAAAGAGCAGCCCCAGGCTTGGTCCCCTCGGTGTGCCTGGCTGATTTCTAGCACCCTGTGCAGATCTGCAGGAGCTCAGAGCCGGGCAATCCACAGGCAAACCACAGAGCCACTTTCCCCAGACCCCTGCTCTCAGAGCCCCACCTTCAGAATCCCCGTATGGGTTTCAGGTGTTCAGTCTTTCTCTCTGGTCTGTTTTCTGTTACTATAAATTTGCTTTTCCAGAGCAGCAGCTGTGGGAATCTCAGCGTGTTGAGCCTGGTTCCTCCTCCACAGGATGGTTTTGAGGTGGGTACACACCACTGTGTGTGTCACTAGATGGCTCTTTTTCATCGCCACGTAGTACTCCATTGTATGGATGGGCCACAGTGTGTGTATCCAGACCCTCGCTGAGGGATATTTAGGCTGTTTCCAGTTGTTTTTTGCAATTATGAATGAAGGCATTAAAAACCTTTGCAAACTGTTTCATTGTGGAACTGTTTCTCTTAGCTGCCTCTATTGTGCTTTCAACCCCTTAAGCAGCGTGTATAAATGTTCTCCCTGACACTGGTGTTCCCAGGCTTTTGCTTTTTTAAAAAAACTTCATCCATTCGAATAGATGTGTACAGCTGGGTGTGGTGGTGCACACGTGTAGTCTTAGCACTGGGGAGGCTGAGACTGGAGAATTGGGAGTTCAAGGCCAGACTGGGCCACAGAGTGAGACCAAATCACATAGAAACAAATCACATAGGTAGATAGTGGTATCTCACCGTGGCTTTAATTCCCACTTTCCTAATGATGTTCAATCTTTTCGCCTATTAAAGAAACTGGCTTCAGCAGGTGTGGTGGCCCAAGCCACTTCTGGTTGCCATCTGGGCTGACCCCATGCAACCCAAGATCAGCCCCACATTGGCCTCTGCTGTCACTGAAACTGTGATCCCAGCACACTTGGAGGCTGAGGCAGGAGGATTCCAAGTTCAAGCCCAGCTTAGGGCATTTAGTGATTTAAGGAGACAATGTCTTATGATAAAATTTTTTAAAAGAGGAGTGGGAATATAACTCACTGTGAAAGCTCTGGTTTCAATCCTTAGAACCGCAAACCAAACAAACAAAAAATAATAAAAAAATGGATTTTATTAATGGGTTTGGATGGTTCTTTATATATTCTGGATACTAGTCAGCCTTTTGTCAAAAATGTGATTTGCAAATATTTTCTCCCAGTCTGTGGCTTATCTTTTTATTCTTGTAACAGGTAGGCTTTAATAACGTGGTTTTGTTTTCATTGTAATTATTTTTTCTCGTTCACGTTGATTGGTGGCATGTGTTCTTTGTTTTTTTTAGTTCTAGTGATAACACCAAGTGTTTCCTTTTAAAATAAATTGATTTAGCCGGGGAGTCAGCTCAGTGGTTCTGCCACCTGCCTCGCAAGCGCAAGGACCCGAGTTCGATCTCTGGTACCAAAAAAAAAAAAAAAAAAAATTTTCATTCTCATTTAAGTAGAAAAGTAAGGCAACTTGAAGGAAAATATTTAGTGAGTAATAGTAGGAGCAGGAAGCAGGCAGCACGAAAATCATGAAGGCAGTTACTAGAATAGTCGTGACGTGCAGAGCTCCAATTTGTCTGCCAAAGCACAGACCAGGTGCTGTCCTAGGCACCAGGGACCCAGCAATAGACTACATTTTCTGCCACTTTGCTGGCAATTTCCACCGAGCTCCTTTTAACCTTCAAATGACTTTTCCCCTGTCCAAAATTCCTTGGTGTACTCCTTTCTGTTTCTGTAAATATCTCCCCGGGCAGGGGATGTGGCCAGCAGCCTCTAGTATGGGTGGCAGACAGCCTGGGGCACAGACTGTCCACAGCAGCAACTGGAGTAGAAACCAGGTACCGATTTGATTGGCTGGAAATGGCAAGGCCCCTTCCGGTTGCCATCTGGGCTGACCCCGTGCAACCCAGGATCTGCCCCACACTGGCCTCTGCTCTCACAGACAAAGACACCAAGAACAAAGCTCTCTAGGGGTCGGGGGTTTAGCTCAGCATTTTGGTGCCTGCCTCACAAGCGGAAGGACCCGAGTTCAATCCGCTCTCTTGGTGACCACACCCCGGGCTCTTCCACTTCCCTCCCTCACACCTGCTTGCGGCTCCAGTTTCCCCAACCCCACTCCCAGCCCTGGCCTTTGCTCTTCTTCTCCGCTTCCATCCATCCAGAACTCTCTTCCCCAGCTCTTTAGGACCGGCTCTTTCCCCACTCAGTTCCCTCCCCAGCCCTCCTGTCCAAACTTCTCGCCTTCATCCGGCTTTTGTCTCATCCCTTTGTCGATCGCCTTCGTTTTGAAGTTCATGTGTGTGTTCACGTACTTTTGTCTGCGTCCCCAGCTAATGACGCCTCCGTGAGGGACTCCGGTCCGGCCCTCTGTAGGTCCCCACTGTCTGGCAAAGTACCCAGTACTCGGTCGACATTTACTGAGTGAATGAATGGATAAACGAGCACAGAGCTCTCCTTTCCCGCGGTCAGGCCGTTTTGTCGATCGCCTTCGTTTTGAAGTTCATGTGTGTGTTCACGTACTTTTGTCTGCGTCCCCAGGTAATGACGCCTCCGTGAGGGACTCCGGTCCGGCCCTCTCTAGGTCCCCACTGCCTGGCAAAGTACCCAGTACTCGGTCGACATTTACTGAGTGAATGAATGGATAAATGAGCACAGAGCTCTCCTTTCCCGCGGTCAGGCCGGTGGCCTCAGGGCTGCGCCCGCCCAGGGTCACGTGGTGTCCGTCAGCTCCTTCTGGCCCCTGTGCCCAGCCTGCCGCTGAGTGCCGCCCGCTGGGTCCTGCCAGGCCTGGGTCCTGCCAGCTGCCCAGCCCGAGAGACCTGTTGGAAGTTGTTCCCAGGCCCCCAAAGCAGGGTCCTTGGCTGCCGGCGCGCTCTTGGTTCCCTCGAGTGGACAGAGGAGGATCCCGAGGGGTGGGTGTCCTCACACCTTCCTCCCGTCGGACTTCGGAAGAAACCCAACCCAGGACCGGC